GATTTCAAGGGTCATAATTCCTCACAATTGTTTTTTTTTTTTATATCAGACAGCATGAATGGCAACCTTTGATTGGCCAGATTTCTGATAATTATTGCTGATCTTTTATTTTTACTTGTTTTGTGTTATTTAATTGCTTCCGCCTTCTTGTCGTCCTGTTTTTAGAAGTGGTGTTGAGCAATGTCCCAGGCTCTGCAGCAGCTTTTATTGCTACTGTGTTTTTGTCATCTGAGTCCAGTTTGATCACTTGCTGTGAGCAATCACATCCCCTACTGTGTTAGATTGTTTGCTTTCTTAATAATTTAATTATTTGTTGGAGAGATGGAACAAGATAAAGACCTAATATGGCCCTTAGGCCTCCAGTTAAAAAACATTGCTTTTTTACAGTACAGATACTGAGAATATTCTGTCAACTTTTGAAGTATTTTGTCATCACAGCTATATCTATAGTTGAGTATATGTATATATATATATATATATATAGAATTTTTTTGTAAAAATAAAATTAAATACTGTACCATATGCCTCTTCTCCAATACACAACTAAAATGTAACTAAATAAATAAAATAAGCTGACTTTCTCTGTGTATTTTTTAGAGGGTAGTGAGTCATTCACCAGGGAGTCAGTGGTTTCAGGCCTCACCAGCGTCAGGAGCTCTGTGCCCATTGCTCGATTCTCAGAGGAAGAAAAAAAAGTGTCCGTCATCAAAGCCCCGCATTATGAAGGCATCGGCCCCGTGGATGAATCAGGCATTCCTATTGCCATTCGCACGGTGAGGTTAAACGTACACCAAACTCAACACATCTTTTCAACAGAGCTCTGTGTTTAGCGTGACACGAGTGTCCTTTGATCCATTTTAGACCGTCCTAATATGTGATCATGTTTACGAGAGAGGGATTACTTTCAGCTGTCAGCAGCTTTTGACCCCATATTAAAAGCTCTTTCTCTCTCTGACTGTCACTATTTCAGTATCTCGTTTTTCCCACCGCTCTGTGTTGGGGGATAAAGGCGAGCTTGCTCGTTTGCTCTTGGCTTGTTTTAAAGAGTGTGTGACTGTGTTCTATCTCCACTTTGAATGTTATAACACTTCACTAAGTCGTCTGCTTCTTGACCAGAAGCTTTTAAAAGTAAGACAAACTCAATTACAGTAAAAACAAAAGGTTGAAACCAGAAGTAAAAAGGAGAGAAAGATGAGCAGTGGAAGCAAAGACAGACATTGAAATAAAAAAAGAGATAAAAAAAATCACAGATGCTTCTTGTTGTGAGCAGACAGAGATTTTTGTGGCCACTCAGTTTGGTAACCTTGGAGAATGAAGCGGTAATTGGCCCGTCTCTGGTCTGTGCCAGTGCTACACTCACATTCACACAATCTGCTTGTTCTGACCGGAGTCCAGTGTTCAGTGCTACTGAATAAAGAGAGGATTAATTCTCTCTGCCATTTGATAGTTCCTTTTTTTTTCTTTAAAGTGGCCGATAAATCTATACTGTTTGCACAAAGACGAGCATTTTTCCTGGAGTTTTCTGGCACAAGAATGTGACTCCGTGATTTGATTTTGTAGCAACATGGCTAAGTTTTCAGTTTAGAGTGCAAAATTCAAACTGTTCATTGGTGAAAGCATCACACAAGCACTCCTGTTAAAACAGATTGATGTTGTAATTGATGAAGTGGTTATTGTTATGGTTTGTAATGTTCTCTTTTAGCTACTTCTTTACAAAATACTAGAGCTATGTTTCAAGTAAAAACATTTTGTAGCAGAATTTATATTTTTGACCTGTTAGTTAGCATTTCTCATTTTATTCAAAGACTAAAGTGAGCAGAAATATGTTAATTTACATCTGTACTTTTTGTGTCTTACACATCAACAAGTGTTTAACGCTTTCTGTGAATGATGGTTATGAAAGGCTAAAGTCATAAAGACACATTTCACATTCACATTTATGCTCATGAGAAAAAAATAATTGGTTGACATTTTTATGAGCAGAGATGTATTTTAAAGGTTTATTTAATGCATGAGGAAAGATTTAAAGTTCAAATCCCATCATTTAAACACTGTGATTAAAGAGATTTAACGCAAGGTGCTTAAATCATTCAATTTATTTTCCAGAACAAGTACAACATGTCTCCCGACTAGGATAAACAAACATATTTTAAATCATTTCTTTGTGTCTAAACATGGTTCAGTTATCTTAGTAAAGCGAGAATTACTAAAAACATTGCGTTTATCCTCAACTCATCAATGTTCTGTAAAACGGTGAAAGATTTCACACTTTCCAACCTAAACTTTGCAGTTTTTTTTTTCATTTTACAGTACATAAATCTTCATGAATTTTTTTTTTTCCCACAGACAGTGGACAGACCCAAAGATTGGTACAAAACGATGTTCAAACAGATTCACAAAGTCCACAAAGCAGGTACGGCAGCACTGGACCTCTCTGCAAAACTGAAAAGTCCCTTAATGCTCTCTGATTGGATGATTGGATTGTTTGAGTGGAACCGGTCATTTGTAAATATGCGTGCATCCCTGAGCACTGTGCATGTCAGTTCTCGTTAAACCAAAAGACTCACACAACGTTAGAGCCAGGACTCATTAGATGTGAGTGAGCGAGTCTGCAGCAGAGAAGAAGTAGAGGAGCAACTCTAATGGACACAGAGCTGTCCAGGGAAATCAGCTCTAACAGAATTGCCCCGTCAACACAAGGCCTGATTGTTCTTTATCGTTCAGGCTTCCTTTTATGACAGTAAATACAAAACACACACACACACACACATATAGACACACAATCCCTATAATTCTCCCCTGTTGCAGAGGCCGAGGACTTAGAAATGCTCTCCGTCCGTCCGTCCGTTACAATTTCAGAAAGCTGTAACGTTCACATAGAAAAACTAAAATACCCCAAACTTGATATGAGTCATCCATGTTGCATGCCCGATCATACCATGTTGTCAAATGACATCATCAAAGCCCCGCCCCCTGACAACTGAAGGGGAACTTTTTCTGGCTAAAAAAGCTCGATCTCTGACCCTCTTGACCTAATCAACAACAATCAAGTATTATGTGGTTGACATACATTTGGCTCTAAATTCCACATATTTCAGCCAATCGGCAGCCAGTTCACTGTGGTCGATCCTAATCCACCCCACTACAGGAATGCAGTCCAATTCCTAACAAAAACATCACGCCGTTGGCATACATTTGGCTCTAAATCACACGTACATGATCAGATCTGAACCAAATGTTGTGTGCATCATAAGAGAGACTTGCTCAACATGTTTGTGTAATAGTTTGACAAGATCATTTTAACCCCCGTCCGTCTCTCTGTTCACCTTATGAGATTATTTAAATAATGAAGGCCTCCAACAAAACTGCTAAGAGTTGGTCACTTCTGAATGGCGACAGAGGACATCAGTGACGGTTGTAGTCGAGCTCTATCTTGTTAAAGGACCGATATTGTGTTTCTCAGGCATATATTTAAATACTACACCATAATAAAGTATATATGTCACCTTTAACTGTTATTAAAATACTGTTTTTATGTTTAAATAGAAAATAAACTTATCTTCTCACCACTTTCACTTCTAAATGCATTGAAATTGGCCTCTGTCTCTTTAAGAACCTCCTTCTGCTTCTGTCCCGTCCCGTTCGGTGGGGGGGTGGGGTTGCGCGCGCGTGCTATGATGCAATTTACTTGGCATCTGAAAATACATTTCCTCAAAGGTATTTTTAATCTGAAAAGAGCTTCACTGAGTGAGAACTAATGTTGAGCTCAGCAGACAATTAGGTTTCACTTTTAATTTCACCCGAGAGTCTGCAGGAATCATGGGCGGGGTGTGTGGGGAGGGGGGAAGGGGGTGTGCTCTGCCACGAGGAAGTTCGGCTTAAAGACACGTCCCAGGGGCGTTTCTGGTCCCCACCTGTCGTTTTGCTCCTCAGCATGGCTGCCTAAAAATGCTGCAGGATTTCTCAAACATGCACGAATGAGTCAAATCAAGGCTTTGGGCATGTTTTTTTATGAGAGTATAACATTATAACATGATATAAAACTCAAAAAAGTTGATTTTACATGGTATTTCCCCTTTAAGCTTTAATACACCCATTACTTGTTTGTTCTTTAAACGTTATTCTCTTAGAGAACTGCTTTAGTTTTGTGTTTAGTTGTGAAAAGTATTGAAAATTACTTTGTAATGGTGTGAATTTCCAGTTGACCAGCTGTCCCAAGCATTGGTAGTTTTTGTGCTTCCTGTGCATGAATCCCAGTGAGTCTTTCTACCCTTCTTCTGCAGATGATGACTATTCTGACACATACAGTGCAACTTATGCTTTCATAAACAGCGGTGAGACTTTCTCCTGATGTCGCAGAAATTAAAACAACAATTCATTTCTTCCCAACCCCATGTGCCCTCCTCCTCTCTGGCCCACTGCCTTCATCACGTCTTCCTCCACTGTCTCCATTCTGTCCCTAACAGATGACCACAGCCTGTCGTCCAGCGTCACCATGGCCCACCCACCTCCTCGGACACACACGTACAGGCCTCTGTCCAAAAGCCCCTCAGACAACGGAGGCCAGATGGGAACTCGGGAGCTTTTGCCATCTCCTGTGCCCCCACCACCTCCACCCATGCCATCCCTCCTTCAGCTCCGAGCCAGAGACGGCGACCGTGAGAAAGATTCACCAGACATGTAAGAGAAAATTCCTCAAACCTAACACTGCAGTATTATTGACACACTGGTTTTGAATCACTGCAATGGTTTGGAAATAGTTTGGCTCACCACAGCAGATGTTGACTGCTGTTTGACCAATTACCGCAGTCTCTAAGCTGCATCCTAGAGCTCCTGCAATAAGAGGAGGAAAGCTTGATCCTGTAGATCTACAACAAATACAGTATACTGACACGTCTCAGGACCATTTGTGTCTGCGTCTTCTCTTTGATCTAAAATGTTACACACCAGATTCATCCTTTAGAAAACCTGAAGATCAACCACAAGATACAAACCAATCAGTAGTGTCCATATGTGTAAAGGGAAAATGCAGAATGACTGAATATGCTGCTTTACAATCTGACAATGTTCTCACCTCTCTGATACCTTGATAATAATCAACCTCAGGCAGAGCAATATACATCCTCTACGTATTTGTTTATTAAAGGCCAGTGATCGCAACACTTCAAGTTTTCAAGTTAGCTTCATCCTACTTTTTTCCAAACATTGTTTGATTATTCTTACATTGTGTTATGCATCTTTTGTCCGAATTGTTATTATTAGTTATTAGTAGGTTTAAATAACTAAAACATTAAAAGTCTGTAAAATCTTTACCTTTTTAGCCCTGTCCTAAGTGTTGAGTAATCTTCTAAGGCTTCTTTTTATTTTTATTTGTTTAAATCAGGAACGAATGGGGTCCTCCAGACAGGAAAGTGGATACACGAAAATATCGCGCAGAGCCCAAGAGTATTTTTGAATATGAGCCTGGCAAGTCCTCTATTTTGGAGCATGAAAGACCAGTAAGTAATTATTTAATCGCTAACAGTTTTTTTTTCAAATGTCTATTAAAAATTGCCTCTCTTTTTATTTATTCTTTTTATTTGGTCTTACATTTTTTATACTGTTGTTCTTGTAGTTGTAATGCTCAAAGATATTTACTAAAAAATARCTTTGAACTTAGAATATTCTTCTCTGATTTAAAAGCAGCTGTACCAATATCAGAATATGCAGAATGCTGCTGAAACTAAGATGCAAACTTTAGGTGTAACTGATTCATCACAAATATATTTTACTTTGACATAATAGTATGGTAGTCCTGTTTATGTTAGATCATTCTGACTTTTACATTATGGGCTTTCAATGGATTTCTGTCTGCTTGTGTCAAGCCAAGCCTTTTAAAGCCAATGTGGGCGTCAAAAGGAAAAGTGTTTCCATTACTGTATCCCCTAGTAACGATACAGGCTGTTAACTCCTGTGTGTTGTGAATGACAAAGCAGACAGCAAAGATTATTATTGTCTAAAGAGCAGGTGGTGGGTAGGAATAATTAAAGGTGTCTGAGAAATTACCATTAAAATGAGGACTGTGCTACAGATGAGGACCCATTATAAGTGATTGAAAAAGGAAAAGTTATTTTTATTTTTTGTAAGGGTTTGACATTTAATTTGACGTCTGCAGAGAGCACTCCTGGGGCAATAATGCATGAGTCAGCTCCTGATAGAAGCAATAAAAAGAAAAAGCCATAGACAGTGCCCACACTGATTTTATAGGTTGTCAGTTCAGCGTCTTTTTCCCTCCATCATGTTAGAAAAGCAAAGTGCCACCTTGGTATAGCATCTCTGTGGGCAGTTATGAGCTTCAGAAAACAAAAAGGATTTCTCTCTCTTTTCTCTTTAGGAGCTTTGTTGGTGTTTTTTTTTTTTTTTTTTTTGTGCCCACATTATATTTGTATTGCTGGCTGTCTAGACCCCAGGCCTCTCTTTTTTAACTGGGTGACTCATCTTTCTGAAATATTGATTCTCCTTTTAGAAAGAGAGACATAACCGTAGCTACAACACCTGCAAAACATCTCCTGGCTATGTTTCATTTGGCCTAAAGACTCACATTTTCATGTGGGAGTAAGGTTAGAAAGAGCAGACAGAACCGAGTAGTGGCCAAGTTTTTTTTTTCTTTTCTTCCAGTAATATTTAACATTTTATAATGCAATATTCTGTAAAACAATAAAAAGACATCTTATTCCTGAATTCTAAACCCCATAACGAGTTTTGCATCAGATTAGAAGTTCACATGAGCCGGTCGGTATCTTCAYCCTGGTTCATCTCGTGCCCATCTTCCTTTGCTCTTTCCTAACCATGAGCTCCATGTCTCTGTTTGTGTACAACTCCCTCCCCCCCCACACTCCACACTTCATTTCTTCTTTCTYCCTGTTGCCTTTTATCTCTGTCATGCTTTCCCAGACCTATGATGACATAGATTTAGAGAACGAGCCTTGGTATAAGTTCTTTTCCGAGCTGGAGTTTGGGCGCCCGGTAAGTCAGGGCTCAGCAACTTCTCCAACCACAACGCTGCTTCAGCCGTACACCCACTGTCTCCACCCACACTCTTGATGTGTTTTTTTTAAATATATGTATCCGCTATTAGACTGGTTGGGCTAGTTGTTTGGGCATGTGGTACTTGTTTGGTGCAGTGATCCTCCCCCTCACACACACACACACGCAAACACACACACCCATGTGACAGGCATTGATATGTCTTTTTGTTACTATTTATTTTATTTTTCCAGCTACTAGCAGGCACTAAAAACTCCAAGCAAAAGCCTGGGAGCTTTTTGCTCTTGATTTTTTTATATATTTATTTTTTTCCCTATTCAACAAAACGTGAGGAAACTGTTTAAAAGGCAATGTTTCTGTATTTTTAAAACGTAGCTTCAAGTCTGTCCCACTGCACAGGCCAGTCTTTCCGCCAAGTTCATAAATCATCGGTTGTGATCAGAATGTAGATGAGTTTCCCATTCATACAATATTTTTCGCTCAAAACAGTCCATCATCATCACACCGTTGTTGTTTGTGCAGTTTCTTCAACAGCTCTGATACATTAAAACATGTATTGGTTGTCCTGCCTTTTATTTAAACTGTGCATTTTTTTGAACACATATAAATGCCTGCTAGTATTGTTTCTTTTGTTTTTGAGTAGTATGTTGGAATCCTCTGCTTGCCAACAGGCTATGCACTATAGTGCCCTCTGTTGGATGTATGTGGTGCAGAAGGTTGTGTTTGGCTACATGATATCAAATTACCTCAAACTGACTGATTTATTAAAAGCCAGGAGGACATACCTCTGTCTCTGACATGCCTTCAGTGCATGACATCAGGTGATGCTGGGCTTATTTTAAAATTTTCAGGTAAAAACTTTCGCATGGGGCATGGCACGTTTTCCCAAAGCCATGTCCTGCAGTGTGTCAAGATTTCTACCTGCAATATTTTACATAATTCAATAAGCCCCGAGTGTACAGTGTCCTACGTGTTCTGAATGATTCTGCCTCTGAACAGAATCTTTTATTGACTTCAGAGTTTTGTTGGCATCACAATAACAATAGTTTTTAACCACTTGTTTATGAGCACTGGTAAAGCATTTGATTTAACGTCTTACCGCACCCTCAAATAAACACTGCAGGTTGTACTTCACTTGGCTTTCTGCACATTGCTGCTTCTCACATTCTGCATRTGTGTGGTACTTGTATGTGTGCGTGTTTGAGTAGAACAGTCAGCTTATTGGGCTTATTTTATTGAAGGTTTTGCAGCTTGTAGTTGCCTTTTCGCTCTCTGATGATCAAAGTAAACAGAAGCATGTACAGGTGATTCCAGAACAGTCAAGTGTGTGTGTAGATCTTAGCTTGTAAATGTGTGCTGGTGTGTATAGTATGTGCATAATTGTCCAGTGTGTGTGTGTGTGTGTGTGTGTG